TGTTACGATAAAGATACTAATTTGGCCGGAAATGTTTTGCGGGTCTCTGCTAGTTACATAAGTATTGCAACAAATAAAATTTACTGGTATTTGTCATAAAAGATCAAATTAAAGAAAGTGTCCTGTTACAGTACAGTACTAGTTTGGTATGGCTGTTATAAACCTAGCTCAAAGCATGTACACGATTTTATAGTATAGCATAAGGCAGGTTTACCCAAATTACCCCAACCCAGGATCCATGGGGGAGGAATGAGTTACTATTCTTATATATTTCAATAAAACTTGTTTTTTCTTTATTATTTTGTTAGGTTGCATTAGGTATATATATATACATATATATATATTTGCCCTTGTAGAAGAAAGGTCCACCTTTCGAAAGCGCTCGGCTTATAGGGTTTTTATTTATTTCTATCAAGACTTTTTGATCCTACGTGTCTTTCTAACATCATGAATATATATATATATATATATATACATGTGCCGTATTTATGCATAGGTAGAGTAGGCAGCTGCCTAGGGCGGCAAATTTAAGAAACATCGAAAGAAAGCGGCAACAAATATTTGAATATGTTCTTATTTAATTTTATATTGCAGAGGAGCCGCAACCCGCTGCACTAGATCGAATCTCCCAAAGATGTATTATTTATAGCACTGAGAAGTCATGCCACTTATCAGGTGATTAATAATATAACTAATACAAAAGCTTCACTTCTGGTTCGACTTCGTGAATAATCAATGGCTGTAAAAGTTTGTCATAGATAGCAAAATTCTGAAGTCTAAGAATAATATAAAAAGTTTTCTTTATTACAAGTTTTTTTTTGGTATTGTCAAAATGGAGTGCCAGTGTGAAAGCTGATAATTACCTCGGTGTTTCTAGCCGCGGCTGAGCAGCTCACAAAACGGCTCCGTGTTTTGTTTTGCAAGTACAAACCTTTAGCTCATAGCTCCATCATCTCTTGACCGATTTAAGATCTAATTACAGTTTTGGATACAGTAAATCAAACCCTTTCGATTGATGTATTTGACTACGCCCAAAGTCTCATGAATTAAGTTATTTTAACCCAGCCTCAAATAATTGTTATTGAAGTAATTAAGTGGTTAATATTGAGGTATTGTTGAAGTAATTCATTTTAAAAATCATGGAAATTGGTTGATATGATATTGTTCCGTCATCGAGGTCACGTGACTGGTGTGGCGCCCTCTAATTTCTAGAACTATCTTGTTCCTTCAGGAATGCTCTAGTATTTACTAGATAGGGTAGGCTGGTATATCTAAGAGGGGGACAACGTGACGCGGTAATGTGTGTGTAGACAGTGAGTAATTGAACTGCAGTCACAGGGTATTGTTGAAGTTAACGTTCGTTTGTTCGTGATACTGTTTTTTAGCGCGAATATTGAGATTAAGTGTATCGCAGAGTTATATTCGGAAAGAATAAACCAGTTTTATTAAGTAAATACTTGTGTCGCTAAAGTTTCATCGGAACGAAGTTACGGGAAGTTAATTAACAAACGGAGACGTAACAATATATTTTTACTATTTTAGCCCCCCAGTGGCACAGCGGTATGTCTGCGGACTTACAACGCTAGAATCCGGGTTTCGATACCCGTGGTGGGCAGAGCACAGATAGCCCATTGTTTAGCTTTGTGCTTAATTACAAACAAACAAACAATTTACTATTTTATTACGTTATTTATTCAAATGGTCACTTTTTAATGAATATAATGTATTAAATAAACATATTACTAGTCATAATAAGATAATAGCATTCTTTTTATATATAAAATAAAATTATAGCCACACTTCATTTAGGTTGGATGGAAGAAATCGACTTACCAAGGCGGAATACAGAAAGAGCAAAACTAAATTTTGAAACTAAAGACTTTCTTTTTTAATCTATGCAAAAATTAGAGATTCATTCTTTTCTGCACCTTCTACATCTTCTGCTATCATTTCTAATAACCAGCAAAATTAACCAACCATACAAATGTCATCAGAAAAAGAAACGACTTCGGTGGAAGATTCTGAGAAAGAGCAGATAATGCAATAATCAATGATTGAGGAATTCAGAACCGCTTCTGATCCGGCAGAATGGATTATTGACTGCCAAACCACAGATTATTATAAATCCACCTAAACAAGATCTCAGCACCGATTTTTCCTAGTTGGTTAGAGAGCATTCGGAGGGTGTAAATCGATCTTTAACAACGGAACTATTTTTTTCGAAAACTTACCAACAGTGAAAACAAACTTAAACATTTATTAATATTGTTGCGTCAGCGAGGTCACGTGACTAGTGTCACGCCACTTCTCTCGAACTTTCGTGAATTGTCGGAAGATTACTAGATATAGGGTAGTCTGGTATATATAAGATGGTCACAACGTGACGGATCAATGTGTGTGTAGGTAGTGAGTAATTGAACTGCAGTCAGAAAGTATTGTTGAAGTTAACGTTCGTTGATATAGCGTTTGTTATAGAGCGACTGTTGAAAATAAGTGTATCGTAAAGTTGTATTCGGAAAGAATAAACCAGTTTTATTAAGAAAGGACTTGTGTCGCTAAAGTTTCGTCGGAACGAAGTTACGGAAAATCAATTAACAAACGGAGACGTAACAATATATATAGATACGGTAAGAGAAATGTGGGTTAGCCGTTGTTTATTTAGTTGTGTTGAGAACAACTAAAACTCCTTTGTCAAATACTTGTTATGTACGTAGTGTGTATGAACAGGTAGTTGTTTGTTAAGCCTATTTTAAACTGACGTTTTAACTTAAGCCTTTCTGATTTTATCATCTGCACATAAACGCTTTTTTTTTATTATATCCTACCAATTTAATTTCTTCCTTACAGTAGTACAGTGAAACAATAACATGATTAAACCAGCTGGATCTTGTTATGTATTATTTGAAGGTGGTAAATCAGAAAAGTTGTTT